TGCTAGTTCTGACCAGGTTGCTAAGCATCTAGCTATCTCTAAGTAAGAAGAGACGCTCCTCGTTTATGTTACGCACGACCTAAAGTAATCGAAGCAATTAGAGAAGCCACTACGAATTTCAATTGGGAAGATGTCAGCTTTATCTCCATACCGTGGATGATAAGTGTGGTTGTTTGAGGCTAACGTTGAATACGTTTGGTTGGTCCTGCTCTCAAAGCACCGGATGGCATAGTACCTGTCTTGAATAGAGGCTACTCGACGCCGCTGGCACTGTCGGACACTTTCGTCGCCCGACACGAAGTACAGCACACGTGTTTCTTCAATATGTATTACATTTTCTTTCGTTCATCTTTCGAAACTTGTAGTACATTCATTTGATAACATGCATGAAAGAAAAATAGTGGATATCACTTGTACGTTCCTACAGAATTTAAGCTCATAAGTCAAGTAGCAGTGGTTCGCTGGCGAACCTTCCCAAATCCGTGCGACCTTTTCTTATCGGCCTGCAGGTATTTACACGGTCTGACCAACTGACCGCAGCGGGAACATCATAACGGATGGGTCACTGGCAACGTATTTGTGCCGCAGTACAGATACCTGGCGTGCGTTTCAATCGCCGCCATCGACAAAAACGCTACATATTCTATTGCCAGCGTTCCGTAGCAGCTTTGTGTCTTGTTCGGCAGCTCTGGTTTCCGCTTTCGATCCACTGGTCACGACGATGTATTCGATGGTTTTTTACTGAACGCCAGCTTGTTTTTCTATGGTAATTGTTCGTTCGTCTAAATAGCAACTGGCTGGGCTAAAAAGCTATCTGGCGTCCTGGTTTCGTGAATTAGCCGGTCGTAGGCAATACAGGGTTGGTTCGGCGATGGAACTCCGTTAATCAAATGCTACCTATCAGCAGTGTTTGAGTGGAAAACGCCCAGGATAAAGGGAACTGGGTCAGATTTTTCCTATCTCTTTATCTTTCTATCTCGTTCGTTTTTTAAGGCGGTGCCCCTTTTTCGTGAAGAAATTGCTTGGCCATGCTTGTTCCCCCTCTAAAAAGAAGTACCCAATGTTCAACACAAGAAAAGCAATCGTAATTTGAATAGTCTGCTTAGTGCATAGGTTTGCTTAAGCCGTTTGCTGGTCAACTAAGGCAAGAATACAGGGGCTTTCACCGTCACCCATAGGACTGAGCAAGCCGAGGCTAGAAGGCACACTTCTTGTATAGGAAGAATAAGCGGGAGTTAATATAGTCACACTCCTGTGTGTTTCCTTCTTCCATTTAGCCGCACAGCAGAACGTAGTAAGAGCAGTAGTAGTAGTTGTGTGGTCCGTACGACGGTTAGTCACCTGAGAGAATAGAAGAGGGAATCTGGCCACAGATGTAGCAGTTCGCAGTTTTTCCGTAGGCTTATTAGCTCAAATGCAGCTCAGTATATGCACTACTACGCTAGCGTTTCCGCCAAAAATGGTCACGGGTATGATCAGCTAGAACAAGCATAAACATACACAAAATAAAGGTCACACATCACCGTCCCTTCGGATTCTGTGACCGGTATTGGGTAACAGTAGGGTTTAGTGCAGTGTCTGTTTTTTATATCTCGTTTGAGTATATACCATGGTATTGAAGCTCTTGTCAGAAGCTGCTACGATAAGGGACCTAATCTATTACGATAGACAATGTCCCCTGTAGGCAAATGGACTCTCCATTTATATAGCATTTCCAACAGCTGGCGTTATTGGTACTTTGGTCACATCTTTAAAGTATACTTCATCAACGTATGGCATTCCCGCAGCTCTACCCTAGCTACCGATGAAATGAGGTATGTTGTCTGAGCTATTTGCAAGCCCGAATCCTCGAAAAAAACGTCGGGTTTTAGTTATAACAGACAGAGAAAAGCAGATGGGCTGAGGAAGGTGCAGTAATAGGTACACCATGGTCAAGATAGAATTCACTGATGCTGGCGTAAGCTGTCTCCCTTTAACCGTTGTGTGGCAAAAGGATGATTTCTTAATACACAATCTATAGCGCAACCAAACACCTTGACAAGTACAAACAACTTGAGAAATGGGCAAGGTACCCCGAATGTTGAAAGAACTAAAGAGCAGCTGTAGTGGCTAAAGCTACTAGGAATAGCAAAAAGAGGCTCAATGAGTCGATATTGACCAAAAGCCACTTCCATGCCTCTTCATTGGTAGTTGTAGCGTTTGCCCTACTGTTATGAAGCTGTGGTTGTCGAAGATTATTAAAAAGAAGTTGTCAGTGAGCCCTGCGTTGAGCCGGTGGGGCAAACATTGTTTCGTTATGCCATCGCGCCACCACCAGAACAATGCCACGCCACCAAAATAATGGCGGTTTTTATAGTCATCAGTTTTGTCGTTACTCCGCTGTAGCTGTCGAAACCGGCTGGTCCACCTACATTGCAACCTGCTAGTGCTACTACTGCTATTGCTGTCGTGTAATCGACAATATCGACAAGTGCGTTGCAATAGTCTCTGTATGTCCTACTTTACTCTAACCTACAATGGCATACCTCGATATGCCCCTCGATCGTCTTGCGCTGGGTTGAGCTACCGGTCAGAGCTTCCGCCAACGCCTAAATTGCCGATTTCGAGTAACAAACTGATCGTTGAAGACCAATTCCCCAGTAGACACCGACGTAGCCCTTATATCTCCCGTGTTCGGGCTCCCGCGATCCCCTTGAAGATCACACGAGGCCATTCAATGGCAATCCGTCGTGTTCGTCCGTCGCGTTTGTCGTTGTCAATGTCTATCATCGTGTACAATATGTTCCTACATGTCTTGTTTCTTGACGTTGCTCACCGATCGTGCCGGTGGTATTATTGTCGCTCATCGACCAGCACTAGCCGCTTCTAGGCCATCGGCGGTTTCCTTATTACATTGGCGCAAAGCTATAAGCAAGCAATGATTGCGGCCAGACTGCGCACGGATGACAAAGCAGCAGTCGTTCCCGTGGCCGTTTCGGCCAAGCGTCGATGTCGGTCCCAGTGCGATACTACCCGCTCTAGAGCCATTGAGTACTGTCTTTGGTTGACGATTCGATTGCAGTAACACTGGACACGAGAAGCGGGCTAGTCAGAGGAAAAGGGGCGGAGGTTGTACCCCCTGGGGTTGGAGAGGGCCCGGGATCGGCGGAGGCCGGGAAACAGTAAGTCAAACCCATTTCCAGATTTCCGGGTGGTACAGTAGCGGAGTGGCGCCATTGACACGGCGGCGGCGGCAGGTGGCTTTAGCAACGACGATGGTTTTGATTTCCTGCGGCTACTATTGGCAGTGAGTCGTGTCTACCCGTCGCGGTTCCAGTCAAAACGATGTGCCAGAGCCACATATGTAATCAACTATCTGTGCCGTGACCGATTTCGCTGCAGAGTACCAACCGTAGTTCGACAAAATCCCGACCAGGCCAGCAGAGATGGGCACCATCCTACGAGAGCTGCAATAGCATGCGCCGGTACAATAGTGCTCTACTAAACAGATAATAAAGCAACGCTTTAAATAGAACACACATCCAGAACGCACGTTTAATCAAGCATGTAACTTATGCCCACACGCAGCCATAAGAATGGGAACAGCAAATGCAATACTTTTGCGGCAACTCTACAATGTTTGCGCAGAACGGATCTAGCACCAAGTAGCCTTGCTGACCGCCCACAAGCCAATACTTTCTGATAGCAACGACTTTGAACTGCTTCTCACCATTCATCTCATTTGCCATTACACTAGCCAGTACAACTGCATCGGAAAAATTAGGACATGTGGGTCTTTAGTTAGATGCTCTCTATTTAGGGAAAGACAGGCTTTAACAAGCGGCAGCGGTGCCATAGAAAACAGCTGTCGAAGAAGGGCTTCTCAAGCCGTTCCATGGGGCGAGTTTTGAAACACAAATAGGTAAGTGTGATCCTCGCACTAATCGCTTTTTTAACTTGCCCTGCTATCGAACAAAAGTTATCTCAATAGTAACTGTTTGAGGAGACACATATATAATAATTATGATAATAATATTACTTGTTATTATTGTATAAAGCGGTATCACGCCGGTACTTTCTTTTATACGGTTTTCTTTTATACGAAAACTTATATCAAAGGACTACGTTCGGTATTGGAACGCAACCTGTTGATACATTCCTTGAATGGAGGATATGTACCTGTAAAAAACTCTCGAAGCCTACGACGCTGACGATATGGGATTTATTATACAGGCATCTCAAGAACTAGAGCATTAACACTAAAGGGTGTTTTTATCGACGAGAAAGGTATTATCGAGCGGGTCTACACTTTAACGTGAATTTAAACAGGCACCACAGGTTGTTACAAGGCTTGTATGTATATATATATATATATGTATATATATATATAAAAAACGTACAGGCTTATGTATGCTCGGGGTTGGAGATCGAAAACTGAGCTGCAAAGATTTTCCTGGACCATTGCTATACATCACAGGCATTGACCGTGAAACAAAGCGTTCGCCAAACTCCCTAAATGGCGCCACATCAAACACTTTAATTTGATATAATAGTAATTTAATAACATTTTTAACGTATAACATTCGAGGACGAGAGTGCTAGGATTCTTCCTGACGCATCACTTACGGAACGCAGCGCCGTTTACAGGATCCTAGTTGGATTCGTTGAAGTAGCTCTTCATCTTAAAATCCCAGCAACTATTGTCATGCCGTTGTTACTAGTAAGTGTTAGATCTGCACCGGTGAGGTGTTTTACCTACATGTTGACAATTTTCGCGTTAAAAACGGTTTTTCCCTGTAGTGTATGTTGGGTTAAAAAAAACTGGGCCGTCGGTAGGGTTTGGTAACGAAACGTTTGCCGGTATCTAAATAGGATCTCCTCTGCTTGGTTCCCTTTAACAACCCTTAAGAACACGCAATGAGTTAGTGGCAAAGAGCTTAATAATTAGTTGTACTAATGTTAATCCATGATTTGTTTCTATTCAACGGCTTCATGAAGCGCGAGCTTATCTCGAAGCTCACCTTGCACTCATACCAGCCCTTGTCAGCTTCACGCACGTTGGTTAAATTTAGCGATGATTTCCCCGAGAGCGAAACGCGGTCTTTATAGTCGTCCGACGCATGGGGCGGATATCCGTCGTACCTGTTCAGCAACACACATGAGCCATTAATAATGTGTAATTTACCAATATTACATTAACCATTGAACACTAACGAGAGATGGAGTCATTTCTAACAATATTCGAAAACTTTTATTCGAAAGTATTATACTATGTCACTCTGAGATAGTACAGTCAGTTGAGTCTGAGAAACTTAACTTCATTAAAGTGTCAGTTACTTATACGGAGCTATCGCGTAAGTGGTTAAGCCACGGTCGATGAAATCAAGCAGAAAAGAGTAAATGCAGTTGCTATGAGTACCTTTTGTCTCGGTATGTACGTGCAATACCACCGTAATAAGTTTATCTGCAATACCTAATCGAATGTTAATCAAGATTTCTTCAAGACGCTTACAATGTTTACTACTGCTTTGGTTATCGTTTAGAGTCCTTTGGATACTGGCATGCTGTATTGGTCAACTTTTACGTATCTGCCATAGTAGATCATTAGAGGCGCTGTAGAATTAAAAACAGTAAGTGACTGGTTTCTATATATCGCCTCGATTCATTCGGTTAATACGTGGAGAAAATTTAAAACGCACTGACAAGCGTTGGAAAGTCTTCAGTATAGAGGCATCGGCCTTCGGCGGGACTACGGTAAATACATAAAACACGAACGGCTTTAGCTGCCGGCGAAAAATAATGCAAACTCTCGTTGTTCCGTTGTGTTTTCTCGCTGTTGCTCTTTGCTCGTCTGCTTTTTGCACTTGATCTCATAGACGCAGACGCAAGTTGACTATGGCCCGACACGACATTGTCTTTCACTTACTATCTGTTTCGACCGGCATCGACGAGTACAAGGCAGCCCAGAATGTAGTATACATTAGGGAGCCGGATAGTAGCGATAGGCTCGGGGATCACTTTCGTAGCGGGTAATGTACTAACGCAAACGAAATCAGTTGGAAGAGACAATCCTGCACCCACTGCATTGAACAACACTAAACACGAATAGCTGTGAGAGGACGACATATTGTACAGAACAGAAAAGGGCCCACGGAATTGAAGAAAGGAGCAAGACATGCCCCTGCTAGATGTAAATGCCCTTTTACTCGTTTCGATGTTTGCCTCTCTGCCTTCGAAAAACTAAGGATAAGAACAGGAAAAACCGGCATCGTTTTATTTGCTCACACACATAAAAATGCGAAAGGCGCATACACAGACTTTACGCCGTACCAGCCTCGTATCACCAAGCCAAGCCAAACTGCCTGGGATAAGCACTGCGTACTGTGTGAATACATACATATATATACAGGGTGGGCAAGAAGTCCTGACAACTGGGTCTTCAATCCATATTTGCCAAAGTTGCAGAAGCTAGACGGATTAATATAATAAAGAACGAGTTTATCTGTGAAATATATTGGCATCTTGGTGTAAAGGTAAGCCAATAAAACCATTTTTATGGTAATAGAAGTCATTGTTATAGCTATTATAGTTAATCTAGTGTTATGCTATTTAACAGAATATTATAAGAATTATGGGGATAGTGTCAAGGTGCCTATATTACAAGCGTGTTCCACTGTTAAATCTGCTCTTTGTTGTAATAACTTGTGCTACCTTAACACATATAAAATGAAGGCTTCTAAACTATCAAGCGACTTTTGGCCCACCCTGTATATACATATACAATGGTAACCGTGCGGATTGAAAGTGCATACATATGTTGCATGTCTTACATAGCCCTCGGGAACAAGAAAAACCGGCTCCAGAGCCCCGTAGCATGGAATGGGATCTACATGGGGATGATCTCTAACAGAAAAAACGCTGGCACGAACTTCAGTTAATTTGCAGACGGCCTCATGCTGCTCCTCGTGGTTGAGTGACCTACGAAGTAAGCCAGCGTGATATTCAGCGAGACTCACCACTAAAACATGCTATTATATATTGGCACTTCGGAAAGACATCGCAAACAAATTGCAAAAGATGAAACAGAAATGAAGGAAATTTAGAAGCCCCTATTGGCGTTCCCTTCCATGTGCCACAGTCCCAAAAAAGCCTAGACAATTCGTAAATATTAGGGGTAGAGACAAAACACCGTGGAGACGTCTCCAGAAATATGACTGGTCGACTACCTGGCGGCTTACATACGAAGCTGGCAAAGAAGTGATACAAGGCTCGTCTAACTGATGTTTACTAAATGCTATTTCGCTTGAGTCGTCAAGTTAATTATGACAGACGAAGGAGAGATGGAAGAGAAGCTCAGGAAGCCTGGTAATAATCAGTTCGTGGTTGTTCTAATGAAGACTGATAATTGGCATCTGGGACGACGAACAGACACCATTTATGCGAAAGCAACCCCACCAGATTAGTGAATCTGGTGGCGCTGCTTTCGCTGCGTGCTGTCTGTCAGAAAGTGGTCATCAAACATAGCAGAAAGACCAGGTACGCTAGGTATGTCAGCACTAAGCGGCAACAACAAATTCGCGCGGTGAATATAGGTAGTGTATTACAGACAGATGCATAATTTGTGCACTGGACAACCTGTATTTGTTTAGGTCTCGATAAAGTTTCGTAAAACGGAGGTGTCGCACAAGTGGTTAGGGCTAAACTTACGTTACATGAGTAAGTGTTAGATGTACAGCCGTAGCTTTAGACGCCTGAATTTTCCGATATAGTGAGAGCTATGAAATGAAGGTAGGCGAAGTAGAGTCCAGTTTATTCGATTCTAGAGATTAAAATTATGGCAATCGTAGCTCTGTAAATGTTGGTAACGATTCACTGATCAGAACCAGAGGCATTAGGACCACAGCAGAAAACACTGCAAAACATTTTGAGCTTTTAATAATTAGGGTTTCAGAGTACTAAGATAAGATGCAAGCTCAATTAGTGTGTATTTTCCGCGACATTAGAAGCATTAAAGCTGCACCACACAAGAGTCGATCTTTCGCGTAAGATCAATCGAAGCCCTATTTATTTTTACAGCCTATTTTAAAATATAGTTTTCCATTAATGACATGCTGCAGCTTTAGCACACTCATCGCTTTAGTTTGTTTTGAGATCACCTGAGGGTAGATGTCCATTTGTAATACACATATCAGACAGATATTGTGTATGCTTACTTCTATTACTATTCATTTGCGTTCAAGATCATGTCTATAACTTCATGACAGTCATATATGACCACGTTTTATGAGAGAACTCAAGCTCTAATCGGTGCGTGCGTGCATCATCTACTTGATAGCCTTCGATTGTGGATACTTCACGAACGCTGTATGATCAAAAACAAGTCAAGCTTCTGGCACGAACAACTCACGAATTATCATTAAGGAAACGATAAGGTAAACACGGTTGTGGATCGAATCCGCATGAGGTGATTCTTGAACACCAACAACAGGAGTAATCTTTAAAACGTCTTAATTATTGATGTCTGTATTTCGGTTCGGCTGCTACATCTGTCGGTTCGCCTATCTCTATATAACCTAAAAGTTGATTATTTTTGAGTAAATCCGCTTTATTTACTACACCCTTTTCAAATCCCCATCCCCAAACGCCCTATTTGAGATGCTATATACATTTAATTTACGTGTTCAACGACAACTAAAAAGGCTCCTTTTACAATAGAATCAAACTTTATATAATAGTTATTATACATTGTGGATCGTATGTATAAACTCACTGGCATCGATGCGATTGTTATCGCTACTATAGCCGTCGTCTGTGACTGACATGACCGTTAGGGGAACGGCTGGCTGCCAGACGGCGCAGAGGGGATTGCCAGATCCACAAGACTGACTTGATCGGGGGATGTTGATATATATAAGACCGGAAACGCAACAATGACAAGAAGTAGACACCGTTGATTATGTTGAGACTCTCGTGCGTTACTACCGAACCGCTATTGCGGGGCGTAAAGCAAAGCTGTGAGCACGATTTCAGGCTGCTGAATGGACTAAGAGAATGGAGTTCAGGAGCAGGATAGTAAGATGGCACACCACGACCGGCTACAGAATGCACATAAAAATCATGTTGTCCTCCTCTATATCGCAGTGGATCTATGTATGGGACTTGAGACGCGCATTTTTCTTCACGCCCCGGACAAAGGTCCTTGTCTCGTGCTGCGTTTCGCGCTCGGCTTTTACCTCAGCTCTAGCCTCGGCCTGAATCCTGAGAGAATTCTGTCAGAATGCACGGACCGGCAATTCTGTCACGGCACCCGTAGCAGCAAAGATAGCTGTGGCGATGCTCCCGGCGGCGGTGATGACTCTGGCTGGGAAGGGCACAGAAATACACGCAATCGATTTCCAACTAGGCAACCTAAGAAAAGGGACACACAAGGGAAAAGCTCTAGCTTTTCTGCTCGCGTGGCAGGCCCAGTCTCCGTCCTGTTACTGACCCTTGCTTATGGTGCAGCAGCCAACAGCCAATGACGACATACAGTCGACGAGTCGTTGACAGGGTCGTTTTCCCTGGGGAAGAACGATCAAAGGGCATCTTGACACTGTCCCGTTTTCTCTTTCTGTTTATGAGAATTTATGAAAGAAAAGCGGTTTTGAACTACGATAACGCAGAAATTCGCGATGATACACTACAGCTAGTAACTTTAGGGAGAAGGAGAGATCGATGCCTTGACACCTACGGGCATAGAAACCCTGCGCCGACCAGTATTCAGAAGCAATTACAGAAATGTCCAGAATACGCACATCGAAAGTTAGTAGGTAAAGCAAATAGACGGTATAGTCAATCATATACACCTTGCTAATAGACAAGCAAACATTGGTACGTGTACACAAAAACTCAGTTTTAAGGTCGTCTTAAGGGCGAGTGATCTTTTAATACTGGTTTTATAAAATCTTCGACGACTACCGAACAATTGAGTTACCTCCGAATAGAAATATGGTGCGGACAAGTGCAGCATAGACATCACGGCGAACTAAATCTTCATGGAACCATTCCTGGTTCCACAAATGTTTAGTGGCGAGGGAGGAAGCTTGCAGTATCAGTATTCACTAAACGCTCAGTTCTTAATTGTATCTGCATAACTGCCTCATTCGGGAATAGCGTCGATGGAATTGAAGGAGTTACAAATATTTTGCCTATCAATTCAATGCTACCTGGCAAAGTCCACACAGGCCCGTGCCCCTCGGCTCCATACCTGTGGGACTTTTAATGCTGTGTGCCATGTGGGGTTTTGTACAACATAGGTTCTTATATCGCTTTTCCCTTTTGCATTCCGTTGAATCCCACCATCCACATCGGAGCCTAATAGGCACGCGGAGAAGTTGCTGATATGGACCGTTTTATTCTGCACGCATGATCGAGCTACGTCTGCTGTGCTACTTCTTTCGCTGTGCTTCTTCGAGATGAATCCCGTTTGCTCCTTCAACGCACCCAGCTCGCCCTGTATCCTGAAAGATCCTTAGAGAGGCTAAAGGCTTGACGGGGCTGAAAGCTATGCACGCTTTGCTTCATTTCTGTTCACTCATAGTACTACTCCTCAGACTTCTGAATGCTGCTTACAGGGTTTTTTTTTTCCGGTGGTGTAGCAGCAACGAGCGGTCCAACTAACGTCAAAGCACCTACTCCCACTTTACCGACGCGTTTGCAGCATTGCTCTGTTAGCCAGTCGCATATCCATAACAAGAAGCTGGTAGAAAGGCGGCACGGGTTAACTCCTTGTAGCCAGCCAGGGTTATGCTAACAGCATAACTTGGTTTCCCAACAGATAAGCTGCGCCGCACCTCATTTCAATTTCCTCCCGGTGTGAAGAATGCTCCCGCCTACTATAATAATAATCATAACAATGATAAGCCATGGCAATGGTAGCAGCGGCAGAGCGGTAGAACTCCCGTAGAGTGTTTTTAATATCGTTTTACGCATCCGCACTCGCCTGTACTAGAACATAGCATATACATAATGCACATCTGCAAACACAATACACTTAGATGTCTACCCAAGCTCTTCTTTGTTTCGTCCACACGTGTCGTCGACTGCCCTTTGTCGATTTTGTCTGGCTTCTACTGCTATGTTCGTCTGGAAATTTTTCCGCTTTCGATAACTGACAATGCCAGCTCGTTCACTGGCCCCTGGAGAAATTGGCTAGGGGCACATGCATGAGCACATCCAATTTACGGAAATTGTCGAAATGGCTCAACTGTACCCTGCAGTGTTTGGGCCAACATTATAACTGTTACTATTTCCGACACAACGTGGCGGTGATCTTTGTGCCCTGTATTAGGACTTTAGTGGCCCGGGACGTATCGAGTCAAGATCTGATTTGGTACGGCGGCGGACGTTGCTGCTGCTACAGCCGCCGCTGCAAGGGAAGCTTGCGACTGTGTCGTAGTGCTTAAGTTTCCGAAAATTGTAGTGCAAAAACGTTTGCGAATGCAGACAAATGGGGGAGTTTGTGGTCACGCCAACGAGAGAGCGGAAGGAGAAAGACAAAGAGATCGAACATCTATTCATCAAGTAGAAGAAAAAAGACTATCCATAAAAATACCAAAGATGACATGCCATACCACCAGCTATCCAGATAGCCATTGCAGTCCCGAAACATATTCTGGTGAACGGACCAACCAGGACTCCAACGCCATACAGACTTTCTATCTTTATCGGTCTCCATTCCCCCTTTGTCTCTCATCACTATCTCAGTGAAGCGCCGTACGCCCTGCGCGGTTTAGGCCGCCTGCTCAGTCTCTATGTGCCTGTCAGAGTCTCCTGTCTCACTTTCGCCGTCAAAAGATAAAGTGCAAAAAGGCCCACTTTACTCCAGTGTACCAATTCGTGATCTAGAGGATTCGTGTTGAGTCCAGTGCTCATCAGATCACCCATTTTTGAGCTCCACCTCATCAAGAGCCGTGGACGATAGAAACTGTATCCAGTGTTGACAAGAACAGCAGTCAACCACCATGTGAACGCTGTGAAGCAGGCAGAAAATTACGAAAAGGCGGGCCCTAGCGCTTGGAAAATTCAGAGAAAGAACAAAGAGGCCTGTGATGAAGAAAACGGAAGAGAATTGCGAATATTCAAAGAGAATATGGAAAAATAAAGAAAAAATATGTCGCTAATTACACCATATACACCTCCTCTCTTGCTGCTAGCCATTTCGTCCCTAACTCCTCGTCCTTCGTCGTCATCATCTTGCACTTCACGCTTCCCCTGCTGCCCATTGCTTTCTCTCTACTTCACTGCCGACTCTGCTTCTTCTTAGATTCGTTGCTTTGGTTCAACTGTTCGGTCATCCTCGTACGCAGTCACGTCGTCGTCACTGCTTTATGCCAGCGTGGCCGTTGCCTGCCGAATGTTCCACAAAACTCTCCGTCACCATACTACCATATTTCTGCTCTCGAAAGCTTCCTGTTTCTGTTTTCTTCGCGTTCGTCTTGCTACTTATGCAGAGGCATAGTGGGGCGGTTTTCTATGTGGTGACGATACTCAGTTCTTTCATCTGGCTAGCGAAAGAAACCAGTCAGCTCGTTCGCTATCACTATTGTACTTCCGCTCCATCTGCAGCAAGATCCTAAACCGGTACAGCACCCTACGCGCTTGATAGCTCTGGCTGTCTCTTGGCAAATTCGGCTTGGCACATGCCGTTCGGTTTCAAGGTTGAAACAGAACCGCATGTGTAAGCCTCACGAAAAAGCAATGGTATCTCCTGAAGGAAAAGAGATCCTATGCTTTGGTGAAGCAGTTGGCTTCCGTCGAGGTTGCGCTCTATCTAGATGCCACATCGAGTTGCTCATATGCGGCGGTTGGATCCAAACGGGGTCCAAACTGCTCTTCGCCTTTCCTGCCTTCTGTCCGGAGTAGAAACTCTGAAGTCGGGAGCATCACGTTGGTTTACGTATATCTAGCTCGGAAGGCGTCGACGAAAGGGCCAATAGAAGTGGGCTGGCCAAACGAACAAACTCGCAGAGTTGGGTGCTGTTGAGCGCTTCTGTCTGTATACGCGTGTATTCGTCCCGCTAGAAGTGGCCGGGACGTGTAAGTAAGGACAAAAAAAAGCAGAGGGAAAGCGCTGATTCTAAGTTGTGGTTCGTAACGTTTGCGTCGGTGTCAGACACCGTCTTTCGACCGTCTCCTTTACGCGATCCCATTGGCGGTAACGGATCCCAACAGGACATTTCGTCAGCGGGTGGAAAGTATTGGCTGATTGAACTGCACGCGATCGAGGCTGAATCCAGCTCCAAGTAAAAGCAAATTAAGCCAAACTGGATAGATTTAGCTGTGTGAAGTGACTATTTCTAAATTAGTGCTCTTAGTAGAAAGTGCAGACGGAACTGAGATGCTCGAGCTGTTTGGGAGTAGACTTCGCCCACTTAAAAAAAGAACTAAGCGAAGTAGAAAGATGAAGACGCTACTCGTAGAAAAGAGATTCCCGATCCAGCTTTTTTAGTGGATGTCTATCAAGTTTGCTTTACCATAGAAAAAAAACAGTTTTCCGCAAAAACGAATATGGTGCGTATTTCGCAGTCTTTTCCAACTGCACCTATTTAGTTAGAGACAACGCATGTTATACTTTTCTGGCACAAGCAATTAAAAATACGAGCAGTCCCTTATATCACTGTCGGTTGCTATAGAGCGAAGGAACTGTCTAGGTGTGTCTCGCTTTTTGTCAACATAGATACTTCCGAGTGTATGTAGATATGCCGGAAACAAGCACTGATAATCCAATATGTTCGAAAAGGATAATTCACTTCTTTCCACTAAAAGCTATTAGTTAATGGAAAGTAGCAGAAAGATGCGGGGGCTCGGGCAACAAAATACGATCGAAACTATAAAGGTGATTGGATTCTTTCCTTCGATGACTTACCAAATATAGATGGGTATTTTGTGGTCCTTCTTATGCCACTGGACGAGGTACGGCACTGGTGTACCGTCTGGATACTCGAAAGGGCAGTCTAAAATAACATTGTCCCCTTGCGTCGCTGACTTTTGCGGCAATTCCTCGCCATTCCCTGTAAGTTACATATGCGCACACACACACACAGACACAGACACGATGAATAACATACGGGTTAGCCCATTTGTGGATAATGAAAATTAATGGTTCATCTAACTAAGCCACGCAATTCGAGTAGCTCCACCAGGGGCAGGACATCCAGTCTGGCGCCACAGTGAAGCAGCTCATGGACGTGTCACCGCTACAAACGAATCCTGCTTTTATACATTAAGCTACACAGTGGCTTTTAACACTGAATTGATTTAATATTGAGTTGGTCAATCTAAATTATAAGAGTTTCACAGCAACGCTGTAGTTGCCCACAGGACAATTAGCCCCTAGCATAGGGTCGACCACCTTTGGGAGTAGTAGATCAATTGACATTGACGCATTGCTCCTTAAAACCATATTTCTTCAGATTCAGCTTTTACATCACATGGCAATAAGTAATTCTCCGATTACTCCCACTACTCCCAAATGGTTTCTCATATCTGTGGTGGTGGAGTAGTAACGTATTTATTTCCATACCAAATATGGAAACATATAGTAAGGGGGGCAATAATTGACGGACTTTGTCTCGTAATGGATGAATTTACTGGGTTGTAATTGCGACTTAAGCTGTGTTTGACGGCTGTTTTTGACGTCTGAAATGGTTATCTATTTATCCACTTCGATAATCACCGCTCGCATAACTACAAACTCAACTATCGAGCGAATTGACAAGAATCATTTTGGCAACTAGTTTACAATCAAATATCCACCTCTGCCTGTAGTAATTGAGAATATCATATATACAAACCAAAAACTATAATTTTTACGTACGGTGAAACCGTACATGGTTTACCGTACGGCTGTACGGTACGCCAGCTATTTTACGGTGTTTCACGAGTATAACACCCTTTCCCTGTTAAAAATTATTTAATTTTTCTTCTGTTACCCTTAGATTTGGCACCTTGCTCCTATTCGGTATCTTTTATTTATGCGTTATCCACGAGGCCGGAGACCAACCCTTGGTGCAAAATTAGCCTTCGATGTGTTTATCGCTTCCGACATCGTTTTTGCCTATTGAAGTAAGGGACGCGAAAGCAACGTGGGCGTCCAGAAAACTCGATTGACTTTCGATATTTCATGGCTTCTCTCCGTACGATGGCGCAAGCGCCCTGCCTGAACTCCGACACGACACTTCACTGCACTTACCCCCCATGCCCGATGATTGAATGCGGGCACTATGCATGCATGTATGTATGTATGAACTACATAGTGGCGGATCGTCAGAGTCTCAGGCTTCTCAGACAGATCAGACTGATGGTCGTGTTCTGGCTACACACGCAGACGCCAGTATGTTTGTCGGCGACCAAGCTCTAAATTTTCAGTAAAGGAACGGCCCCGACCTCGTCGGAACGGTAAGAACTCGATATGGCAGCTTATTCTGTGTAGCTAGACTGATGTAGGCTCTTATGAAAGCCTCATATTGTACCGGCGCGCCTCTCAATTTTATCCCCGCAGAGTCATTCCCGTTTTGCCCCGTCGAGTTTTGCACTCATGCTCCCTCCTCTCCTAAGTCTTATCCGGTAATGGTTTTTAGAGTCCCTTCTATATTTGTACAACGCTGGGCTAGAGGAAAGTCCGGCTCATGTCAACTACACTACCGGTGCCCTATACTCGAGTGAACCTTATGCGATGCTATGCAGTGTCTCCTAATTCTGGGCGGATTTTCAAGTGCGACAACGCTCGCTGTGGCAGGTAAGTTGTCGCACGATCATGAAAGGCTACGTAGTAATAGCATGGACTGTGGCAAAATGTTTCGTAGTAGACCCTTTTCCCGTATAGCTCTATTTCGCTATCTCAGCTACCCATTTCTGAAGGACGAAATTTCCACAGAAGGAGGATGCAAAAGGCAACGGGCAAATGCCCTTCTGCACGGCGCTTTTTTGCAATTACGACGAGGACATCCGTCGGCGGCCATACTGCTTTTCCTTTCTGTGTTGTAATGCCTCGTCTTTATTTGTCTAATCGTTGAAGGCGTGGCCTAATACCGAGTCATGAGGCTATTCGAGATACAACGAAAAGAGAACAACAATGTAATGGTCGTTTAGAAAGAGCGAACCTCCTCCCATAGAGGTACAATGGGATCTAGGAAAAGTTTTATGGCACTGGTCTCTTAGTATTTCTTAGGCCTCCTATTTATCCTGTAGTTCTCTATCAAAGCTTGATTCTTCGAATTCATTGTTTTCGGCAAAAGAGCATAAAAGGATTAGCTTAAACTTGTACCTACTACCAAGATGCTTTTTTCCGCGAGGTAACAGATATTTCTTTTTATGTTATACATAGTGAAGACCTCTATATTCGAGTTTTACGTCCGGTATCACTGTTAACCGTTCGATTAGACAGAAACATAACGGCTGGCTGGCTTTGAGCACGAAACGAATTGTTTGCCTGTTTATGTCCGGGTTCGAACCCAGACCATAACGTGTTCCTAAGATTAGCAAGCAACTACGTTAGCTACATAGTGAAGGTCTGCGATGACTATAATTGCGCCCACATAGGCTGCAAACATGTATGGTCATCTACTGATGTACAAGTAGTCTAGGAGCGATCTTCGCGAAGAGTTATCAACAAATCGAAGCTTGGCTAGTTACCTAAATCAGAAGTAATAAAGCAAACGCCAGTTTACTACATACGACGCGTTTAATCTTGTTCCAAACATCAGTACACCATGAGCATACTTTCTTCATGAAGTCGTTGAACAGTTCCATTGATGTTTTTTTCGTTGTTTTTAAGCAACGCTTGGAAGCATTGTTTATGTTCTACGGTCATACGATGCCGCAATTCTACAACTAAGATGCGCAATGAAATTAAGCAGGTCGCTGTCAAGCATAACACTTTATAGTATCCCCTCTCTTAAGTCGCCATTTTCTACGGTCTGTAGTGAGAGAAAAATTTCCAAACGAGTTCCGATCAGTCAGCAGCAAATTTGCGAGTAAAGTTTTGCCTTCTAATTGAACGATGAACACCGAGAAGTCTACCCATTACTTCACCGTTTGTTTTATCACTGCGTCAACAGTAATAGCAGTAGCATGACCCACAACACAGCAACGCCACACTTAGCGTATGTTTTCGGCCAGTTAGGCTTTGTGATGTCATTAAATCCAAACTAATTTTTCATTGCTTCACTCCCTTGGCTCTTCGACTCAAATGCTCCAGTTGGACTGGCGTTGTTTGCCCCTTGGGAAGCTGCTACCTCCCTTTGGGCCATTGCTTCCCACTATCGGCTGGGGTTCTTCCAGCGTCAGAATTGCCCTCGTCTTACCAAGAAAAGTGGATTTGGATGGAGTAATGCTGCCTCACAACCCTCATCTGACTGGATCGTTTCTTTTATTCCTTCGTGCGTTTGTGCCACTTCTGTTGCTTCTGTGTAGCGCGGAACGAGTAAGGTTTGAAGGGCTGTCTGCTTCGACTGCTGCAAGCTCCACTAACGTTGACTCACCAAAGATTCCACTCGCATCCGGGATCGCGATGGCAGTGTCGCTGCTGCTCTTGCGGATGGTAGTCCACACGCAGGCAAGGGTACGCATCACAAGCCTGGGCACATTCTTCTCATTACGGTGCCGTGGCAAACACGAAAGATGGCTGGCACTGCGCGAGTCAGCGAACCCGGGGCGTGGCCCTACGGAGAAAGACAAGTCCCAGACAGATCCAAAGTTTCTAGGAAGCATGCCGGAAAGAACTACCCGTGCTCACGACGACTGACTACTAAATATATATGCATATCCCACAATGTCGACAAAGAACTCTTTTATAAGTAACCAGCGGGTGAGGGCGGACGTGAAGGTCACGCTCTCACGCGCAGACCGCGCAAGCTGTTCGAGGCTACTATCAGAAATCTTAGGTCTTTTTGTCCTCGCGATCACCGATTCCTACATTATTCTATCCGCTATACGGTACTGTGTTTCTTTTCTACTATTCTATCGTTTTTCCCTTGTTTAATGTCGCGGAAGGAAACACTGACGCCGATATGTTGCTGCTGTCATTAACGTGCCGGCGTTTACAGTAAACGGCACAAAAAAGGAAGGCAGTGACGGGGTACACAGTTTCTTGTGATGTTGGGCTTGGCGTTGATTCTCAGACTTTTATTTTGACACATCAGACAAAATCATGGAACGTATACGGACATTTGCAATATATTTGATAGCCATTGCAGGCGAAGCAACTTTAAGCGTCGGAAGCTTAATTTTGTGCCTTAAAACTAACATTTGACAGACTCGCGTGCACCAACATTTGAGATATGCTGATGTGCTTTAAACTATTTATAATGCATTCGGTGTATAGGATGATCGAAAGGTCGTATTCGTTTTTGGAAAGCCAACACCTTTTTCACTTATCTGCTCTCTAACTGTAGACCTATATTTTCGTTGTCTTTTTCTTTGAACTCTTTCGCTATCTCGATCCACTTGCTCTTTTATTTCCTTGCATTGCTTTGTCATGTTAGGTACCGCCTGCCGCCATCGCGCTTATCCTCACCATTGCCGCTACCCAGACGAAACAGCTGAGTGGCCTACCGCTTGTTCTGCCGCTGTCCGGGTCCGGCTCAAACTCGTCGATGGCGGTTACCCTGACCCAGCCCGATGCAGGCTTTGAGCCGTAGACGTAAGCCGTCAAACGAACATCATCCCCTGATCGATATTCTCCGGACCAACAGCAATAGTAGACCGATAAAAATAACGCTTAGACAGGCATCCAACTTAAGTTGGTACTTACCGTAGTTCCAACCTCAATTCGCGATCCAGCCGAACCCAACTGGGCTATTTCATCCCATCCTATTCCTATTAAAAGTCCGTGTTCTTTTGAGCCCCGAGACGCCTTTGCTAGATTCACTGGCATTACAGAGACGACACTGGCCGTGGCAGAGACGAAAATTGTTACAGTGGCCAGAGAAGCACTTCACGGAGGTCAATAGCTAAATGCTTTGCAAAATCGCCTTGTAGGTGAGTCTGTCGTAAGCCGTGGAACCAATGG